ATGTTAACTCCAAAAACATAGAAAATTTATAAGCAGTAAGCTTCTTGAGAAATACAACCAATGCAATGAAATCAATAAGAATAAAGAAATAAAAATAAGTGTAAACTGACCTGCAGTTCTTGCATTTTAGGGGAAAGTATTCATTATTGTGTACAGTAAGTTTGTTTTAGCCTGTGGTACAAAGCCCAACTATAAGTTGTAACAAATGGCTAGAGAAGTAGTTGGGTGGGTGAGTAAGTAAGGTTGTTTGAAAAGAGAAGATTTGTTAATTGTGTACCTTAAACACATCAGAAAACTGGGACAGATGCTCTGCATTTCTGTTAGCTTTCCATCCAGGATTACAAAATGCTTGCCACAATTCCAGTTTCTCACACAACAAAAATCTTTAACCATAGAAGAATTTTCATTTATCTATCTATCTATCTATCTATCATCTGTCTATCTGTCTATACAAGCACATGTATGCTTCATTTTATTATTCTAAAAAATCCTTACCAAGAGCTCCCAGCAGACTCGTAACTCATGGGCTAAAACTGGATTAGGCTTACTCCCAAATCATATCCCTAGTGAAGGCTTGTAAAGTTCTAATAACAGGTTTTCATTCCACATGATTCATCTCCTAGTACTGTGTACCTTCTGACTTCTATTGGAACAATATTGGGGCTCTCATAGCAAGGGGGTAAAAGTTATTGAGTTGGCAACAGTTGTACCTGCTGTATACCACCCAATGACATTTTGTTCTTGGAGAAATGTACCAAGAGATTGATACTTCAACTATATTCTTTTTTTAAAAGTATTTTTAATTGTAGATGGACATAATACATGTATTTTATTTATTTATTTTTATGTGGTGCTGAGGATCAAACCCAGTGCCTCACATATGCTGGGCAAGCACTTTACTATTGAGCTACAACTCCAGCCCCTCAATTATATTCTTAATATTTTAAATTTGGGAACACATAGGGAATTATGTATATCAATATATGATATTGCAGTAATTTAAGATGGATTAATGTTTCTTTGTATTATGGTTTTCTAGAACAACATTTTTTGGATAGTCTGATTTTGTACTTCTTTTTTGTTGTTTTGGGTACCAGGGGTTGAACTCAAGGTCACTCGACCTCTGAGCTACATCCCCAGCCCTATTTTGTATTTTATTTAGAGACAGGGTCTCACTGAGTTGCTTAGCACCTTGCTTTTGCTGAGGCTTTCTTTGAACTTGTGATCCTCCTCAGCCTTCTGAGCCACTGGGATTACAGACATGGGCCTGATTTTGTAATTCTTTTGAGTAACCATTAACCCTTTAATTTTAGCAATCAACAGCTGGGTCACAGTACAACATATACTGTGCTAATAAAAAATGAATGGCCTTAGAACAAAGTGCATACATCAAAGAGAAGAGTATAATTTTTGTAACAAACTACATTGGGGGGAAATGTTGCAAATTGCTGTAAAAATAAATAGTAAACACCTGTGCTGAATAAATTAATCAGCTTGTTGTCAGTTCTTCATTTGACTCATCTAAAAGGGTGACTGTTTCAAAGCATTAATAAGACATTCACTTGGAGATGTTCCTTTGTTAGCACCCTAAATAAGCAGTACTAGATAATATGTGATTTTTTTTATATCCCCAAATTCACAGGGTTATGTATAGATTTGGTTATTTGTAAAAACAATGCATTGACACAAGTGATATTCAGCAATTGTAGTTAGAAAAAATTATCTCAATATTATTGTGCTGCATTGTGAATGGCCGCTGGAATTCACATTAGCATTAAAATGACATTAGATTTGTGAAATCTATTTTGCTAATGAAAAATTTTATAAGACCTAATGATAACAGATTGTATTATAATATTCTAGAACTAAAGGGTTCTTTTGAAGGCTTTCAGTTCACTAATGTCATTTCATAATTGGCAAATGTGTTTTTATGGTTTTAAAATATATTTAAATTAATAAAATTTAGTAGTTTTATTTTGAAGATATCTTTGAATGTAAAATGTCCTTTTTGAGAAAATGTTTTATACTATAATATTTAGGCTTTAAATTTAGAAGACATTCTTTTTGATGAACAGAATTTTGCTTACTGAAGAATTACGTGTGATTTTTTTTAAAGAGTTTTTGGTATCTTTATAACTTCTTGTTAGACATTAAACTCAATCTTGTCAGAACTCCAAAAATACTGTTGTTTTTAATGGAAAGTGAGTACAATATTGTGTTTCTAATGATTTTATTTTTCATAGTCCTAGGAATTTTACCAAATTATAATGTTGAGATGAGTAAAAGTTGGTGAATATAAAACAAATTCTAAAAGAATATTTTTTTCTTTACACTTACACCCTTAATTAAGTATTTTGACTTCCATCTTTCAGGTTGTCTAGCACTGGTTAATGAATTTTATTTACTCTGTAAAATACCCTTTCATGTAATGTAACAGAGCCACTGACTAGATCATCAGTTTCCATGGTTTCATCATCATGGTCTATAATAAGGGAACTTGCCACAGTCTGCCTTATCTTTAAAGTGTAATTAATTATCCTGTCATTCCTTATTTTAATCTTTAAACTTGGAACTTTTGCTGAAAGTTGTCACCTTAGATTCCTCATGGAACCACTTAAGTTTTATTGGTTTTCAAAATAATGAAAGTGAATACAAAGCATGAACAATTTTGTAGAAAATATACAAATCACATTTCATATAATCACTCTTAATTTTTAAAGTTGTTAATGGAAGTTTACTTGGCCAAAATGATTCCATCATGTAACCACAGAAAAGCAAAGTACACGTGTTTTGTGTTACCCATTCACCTGAGGGCAGTTTAACAATATCCTAAATTTTATTAATATCTTATACTGGACTAACCTTTCAGAGTATATAAAATACTTCAAATGTGAGTTGTCTAATTTATCTTCCAGCTCTCATGAAAGCTAAGGAAAATGGACCCATTTTATAGGTGGGTGACTCTGAGAGTTGAGTTGTCTATTATCTTTTAAGTAATGCATCTAGGACTAGAACTTGGGTTCTTTCCCAGTATAGATTTGTGTAGATTTGGAAAGTATTGCTGTAACACTAGTGCTGTTAATTAATTTTTCATTAGATTTTATTAAACTTATTAGATTGTGACAATAAGTACATTTTATTTCTTGACATTTCAGTGTTATTTTATTCTTTCATTGTTCCCTTTTTGGATACTGTTTATTGTGTTAGTTTTAATAGGACACTTCAATTTTAAATCTACCCAGACTTTTGAATTTATAATCATTTAATATGGGTCTAATTTTTGTGCTTTCTACAAATAACTTTGCTTCAAATTTATAGATATGTAGTCTGCATGCACAACCTAGTTTTTCATCAAGCCTTTATTAGATATGATGTCTGTAGAGCAGTAGGTGTTTTGAGAAGCACCCAGGAAAAGTTGTCATTAGTGTCCTCACTGAAGGTAATTAAAATCTAGTTCAGAAGAGAAAGCATGTACAAATTTGGTATCCTTTATCTGAGATGCTTGGTCCCGAAGTGTTTCAGATTTTTCTTTTAATTTTTTAAGTATTTGTGTAGACTTTATAGAATATTCTTAATCTGCACATCTGAAATCCAATATGCTCCAAAATTCAGAGCCTTTTGAGCACTGACATGATAACTCAGAAAGTTTTGTATTTTGGAACATTTCAGATTTTGGATTTTCAAATTAGAGGTGTTCAACCTGTGCTGGACACCAAAGGACTAGTAAACAGGAATTGAGAAATAAATGCAAAAACTGCATGTATGTATTATAGCTACATAGAGTAATAGATTGATTGAATGTGGTTATATTAAGGAAGACTTCTTAAATGTGAGATTTAAACTCTTAGAAAAGATAAATTGTTAAAAGTATGTTTGGCAATGGGGGAATTGTGATATTATGGGGAGTAGGAATAATAGACCAGAAGATTGGAGTTAACAAATTGGGTATTAGAGATGCCAAGTTAGAAAATAGGTAGAGATGAAAACAGAAGAATAGTAAAGAAGGGAATTTGGTTGGGAGACAGAAAGAAGTTGTTTGGGAGGTGGGGTTTAGATTTGGTGGAAGGAATGGCTACAGTTAGTTCTTGAACAGTGAATTAGCAGGTGTTTACTTTCCAGGACCCATCAAATATAAGGCATTGAGTTAGATAATTGAGTAATAAGGCAGCTCAATGAAAATAGTGGTGTCTGTGGAGGAGTTTATGGTGCAACTGGACTTGATTGGGAGCCTGTTGTAGCCATCAAGACACTGAAGGACTGAGAATGTTAACTTTGTTAATTTTGGAAATGGGAATTTGAATAGTTTAATAGACATTACTACTGAAAGAGTATATGTCAGAAAATAATATAGAAAGTGCCTTTTAGATTTTGCATTGAGATAGGCCAGCCTAAAATTTTTGTGACAGATTTTTTCCCAATTTACCCTCCATCATTTCACCAGATCAAGAATTTCTCAGTAATGATCATATTTGATAATTATCACTGTTGATCATTTACTATATCCCAGGCACTGTTATAGGTTCTTTGCTTATAAAATTATTTAATCTTCAGAACAACCTTGAAGATATTTGGTATCATCCTTGTGGTATCAATGAGTAGTTTAGAGATAATAAATAATTTTTCTAAGTACACAGCCATAACTTTTTGTTGCAACAGGGTTCAACGTCAAGTTAATTCTGAAGGCTGTGCTGTGTTGATTCACTTTTAAAATGCAATTCCTTTATCTGCCTTAAATTTTCAAAAATTTTACATGTGCCATTTCCTCCTTCAACCTGAAATTTTTATCTGTATTTTAAAATTCTTAATTATGCTTCATATTGTATTGAAAATTTAACTAATGAATGTATAATGTCTGGGTCACTTGGCAAAATACACACTGAACTTTATAGGAAAATGATAAAAGAATAAAAGATACCATGAAAAATTCAAGTGTCATAATAATGAGGCTGATTAGAATTATCAAAAATATGATACTAATTATTTTAATAATTTCTTATTAGTCAGGATTTGCATGAATATGTTGAAGAAGCTGGTGCACTGAAGAAAAATCATGCTTGTGTGACACCTGTGGACTCCTCAAAAGCTGCAGATTTTGCCTGTCTGCCTACAGAAGATGAGTCATTAAGCACTGAGAGCTGTGAAGTGCCTGCAGAACAAACTCCAAGCAGTGATCCAGAGAGTACCCTAGAAGTAAATGATGCTGAAGCGACAGGGGAGAAAGAAAACCATAGTGATGATAAAACTTCAGAAGAAAAAACAAATGAAAATGTGCCTACAGCAGAGGACACTGCAGAGCAACCAAAGAAAAATCAGATTACTTACTCACAGATTGTTAAAGAAGGCAGGAGATTTAATATTGATTTAGTGTCAAAGGTAAGTACTAATTTTACCCACTTTCTTATAGAACAACACATTGATTAAAAATAGCATCTGCACCCATAAATCCAGTTTGCTTAATTTTGGTCTTGACATGTACAACATTTGTTTTATAAAAAGACTAGTCAAAATTTTATAACTCAGTTAAGCTATTCTTTAACTACAGGCTACAAATATACTAAATGCTTACATAAAGTTACTTTATGTGTTTTTAATTTGCTCTTAAATAGTACTTTCATACTTGAAGAATGGTTTTGTGCTAGAACACATAGTTTATCCTGATATTCTCCTAATGCATGAACAATATGAATCTATGAAGAATTCTAATGAAACTGTTTACAAACCTATGTTCTTACAGTTTGCATCAACTTTTTGTTTTTAGCTTTTATATATAGTCTAGCTATTCTAATATCTGTGTAATAGTGAATATTCTTAGTAAATCAATGCATTTTTGAAAGTCATATGTTCAGGATCAAGGAATTTAGAGGATAATTTCATAGTTATGGGAACAGAGAGGCTGGGAAGAATGCTTTTGTCTTTGGTTATGTTTCCATCCTTAACTTTTTATTTTCAGTTTATTTTTCATTCAATATAATTTATTGGCTTTGTTTTTTTTTAGTGCATTATACTTATACATAATAGTGGGGTACATTTTGACATATTCATAAATGCATATAACAATAGTTTTTTTCCATTTCAATCTCCAGTTCTTCCTCTTTACAGTTTTAACTCTTAGTTCAGTGTGATTTCAGAAAAGGTAGGGTTCAGTGTTCTATTGGGTTCATAGGAAACAAGGCTATTTTAGTGAAAAATAATAGAAAACCAGTAGTATAAAGGATCATGTCCTTAAAACGTTTGGTGAAAGTAGAGAAAAAATGGCAATCAAATCCTGTAAGTTGAAGGTACACAGTGAAACATTGGAAAGAAGTAGAGAGGGTAGTAAATTACATCAAATTACCTCAAAACTAGACTTTTTTTCAATTTAATATACTTTATTTGAGTTCCGAGTGATAGGGGAGGGTGAGGGACCAACACATGCCCCTCATATTTTGCTGATACAATCACATATTTTCGTACTCTTGTTACCTTTAAAATTGGTGCTTGGAAATGTGTACATAATTTTATTATTTTTCATTCTATCATAAAGCACTGTGTCTGAGTCTGTCATGGTCTGTGTTGGCTGCTTCCTACTTCATATTTCTATATCATCTATTCTACTTTCTCCATCAACTTTGACCCTGCCATGCACAGAAAACTAGCATTTTTTTTCCTTTTACTTTGGCTGTTCATCTCTGGATGGAAGCTTAATTCTAGTTCACTAATAACCTTCCTGTTCTTATGAAGAGTATTCTTGAAATCAGTTTAAAAAAGTAAACAAAAAACAAGGCAGTCTAAGAAAAAATTGGCCTTGTTCTGAAAATTACACTTCGAATTACTTACTTGAAATTTTGATTGTCTTACTAAAGAAACAATGATATGAATGTGGTTAAGAATCAAGACTAAAGTCAGGTGCTGTGATATATGCCTGCAGTTCCAGCTACTCAGGAAACTGAGGCAGGAGGATCTCTTGAGCCCGGTAATTGAAAATCAGCCTGGGCCACATAGCAAGATCCTGTCTCAAAAAGAAAAATGACTCTGTATTCTTCTAAGTTAGCTAAAATACAGTATGTATCTTCCTAAAGAAAATGGGAGAAGATTGTGTTGTTGCAAATGAAGGAATTATTTTAGAAAAAAAAATGAATGAAAAATGAATGTTAATTATAGGAATGAAGTTTACCTAGAAGCTGAGAAAATTGAGGAGATTCTGAAGGAGATTTTTGGGTGCTTTCACTGGCTTGAGTGGTTAGTAATACTAGTTCTCTGGATAAATAAAAGACAAATATGTCCAGAGGCATTAGACTAAGCAGTTGTACTTTGTCTTGCATAGTTTTCATGGGTTTTTACATCTAAACATAATCAGTAATCATTTCTTGTACTTATTCTACAAAAGTATCTACAGAACATGTAATCATAACATAAAGGAAGTTTATAGATATTTTTAAAATGATAATCATTCTACAAGCATTTATTTAGTGCCAACTGAATTGAAAATCATATAGTCCATGTTGTTGGGACAAAGAGTCACTCCATGGAAATTTTATCGGTTCTAATAATTACAGTTGTTACCTCTAAGTTTAGGATAGCTGCCTTATATCTACCTTTAGCCCTCTCTCCTTCCTAAAGTCATTCAATGTGTGCAAACTACTTGATGTTTCTATGCATATTCCATCTCAAAGTCATCATATCAAGAAATAACAGTGGGCTTTAGAGTTTATAAAACATGCCTATTATATAATCATTTAAAAGTCATCTTAGGGAAGGTTAATTAATTTAAATACATACAGTTGTATAGTGTTCAAACTATTAAAGAAATCAAAGATAAAATTCTTAAAATTTATTTCTGAATAAGTCCATAATTTTAATTTTAGAGCCAACATGCCAAGTACAGCAAAGAATATTATTAAAGCTATTTCCCATTATTTTCATCAAATTCAGTTTTCTGAAATTGCTGTGGTAGACTACTTACTAAGTGGTGAAAAAGAGATTAAGTTAAAATAATGTACACATTTATTGATGCTGAGTTTCAGAAACAATATCATAATTTTAGTTAAAATTGATTTACACTCTTCAGTGGTATCTTAAATGACTTAGTTTTAAAGGTGGTGTTAAATATTAAGCTTTAGCCACGTTCGGTGGTGCATAATTGTAATCCCAGCAACTCAGGAGGTTAAGGCAGGAGGGTCATAAATTCACAGCTAGCCTCAGCAAGGTAGAGAAGCCCTAAGGAAGTTAGACCTTGTCTCAAAATAAAAAAAAATATAAAGGGCTGGAGATGTGACTCAGTGATTAAGTGTCCCGGGTTCAATCCCTGGTACAACAAGAAAAAACAATCTTTATTAGATCTTATAAGTACATGTCTGTATTTTATATATTAACATTTGTGAATGAATATATTATAGCTGTTAAAGAATCTTTGAATCTCCAATTTTTTTTAACAAATAAGGTTTTTCAAGTATCTTTTATTATTATACAATTATTACATCTAAAAATAACCAATAATAACTTATTGTGCTCATTCTACAAAAGTAGAAGTATCTAAAGAATGTGTCTACTATTATGTATAATTACAATGAACCAGTAAAAATTTTTAAAAATAGTTTTATAAACACAGGCTTTATCTTAGTTGTGAGGTATGTTAGGAAGAAGGTAATGAAATAACATGTCATACTTAGCATAATAAGATTAGTGTTTTAAATGCAATGAAAATTTTGTACTATGTAATGCTGAAGTATTATAATAGTTTATAAAATTAGATGCTCAGACTTTAGGTTGATTTTTGAGATTCCCTTCTCCTTTGTATGGGTAAAGCAAATTTTATTTTTCTTACTACTTATAGATGCGACATTTACATTTGTCATATTTATTGAGTTGTAGACATTATTTAAAGGTAGCGTGATTAGAGGAAGTAGGCAGATTTCTTGCATTTAACCATATGGTTAAATCTAAAACATGCTGGATAATAATGTTTTTGTCTCTTTGATATTAGTTATAAAACATGTTGAAAGATTGAAATATTAAGTCAGCCCATCACATACATGCTGGCAATAACAATCCTCACTTCTTGAGGAATATGTATTTCATCTAGACTGCTGGAATTACAAAGGGACTTTATAATTTGACACTTTCGGAATGCATCACAAATCTTTTTCTTTCTTCTTTTTTTTTTTTTTTTTGGTGCAGAGGGGAGTAACACCTAGCTCATATCTTCTTGTAACCACATGGCATTATATAGGTAGTCTAGTCTAGTCATTTATCCAAAACCCTTGTTTTCTGGTATTTTCTGTAATTCAGATTTATACAGACACACATATTCACAGGGAATATATAATTATATATTATATGTAAAATATATATAAGCATATATATTAGGCCTGGGGCTGTGGCTCAGTAGTAGAGCTCTTGCCTGGCATGTGCGAGGCACTGGATTTGATTTTCAGCACTGCATATAAAATAAAGGTCCATTAACAACGAAATATTAAAACAACATATATTTTAGAAAGCAATACAATGCATATGCTGATATGCTGTGTATTATGTAACATTCTTAGATATAAAATACTCTAACTAAACACATTAACATTTCTACACTGATATGTATACATATTCGAATATATTGTGACAGAGACAGAAGAGCCTTATATCAATTTGGATCAGGTTTTACTGCCAGATGAATTATGAAAATACTTTTGGATTGTACAGGGTTTTTTTGGGGGGGGGGGGAGATTTCAGATAATGAATTTTGAAACAGTAGTACATTGTGTTATATGTTATAATTTATATTTATAGACTTGCTTTAAATCTAAAAACTAATACAATTATGTATATTTAGTGTTTATTATGTTTTCATTATTTTGCCTTTTATACTATAAAATATTTTCTTTGTACAGCTCCTGTATTCTCGGGGAATGCTGATTGATCTTCTAATCAAATCTAATGTTAGTCGATATGCAGAGTTTAAAAATATCACCAGGATTCTTGCTTTTCGAGAAGGAAGAGTGGAACAGGTACTATGCTGATCAAGTATTATATCTGAATGTGTGCTTAAGTTATTATGGTTCATTTTGGAAGGATAAGCAAATAAGATTGCCGTCTTTTCTGGTAAGGGAATAAATTCCTCTTGCATCAGGGTTTACAAATGTAAATGGCAAAATTTGTTTAATTAAATTTTCTTGGGTTAGTTTTCTTTTTTTTCTAGTGTTAGTTTTTGATGAGTTATTCTGCAGCTTGATTTGGGTGTTGAGAAAGTATTCGTTTTAGGCAGTACTGCTAGATTTGAACTGTCATTTGTTCCCCATTAAGGGTGATTTGCCATTGGACTTTCAGTGGCATAAAGAGTGGATTTGCAGAATTAAGTAAGAAAGATCACAAGTTAAATAGCTCTGAAGTTATCAGAGATGCTGTTAGAATTGATGTAAGGTAACATGAAACAGCTATAGTTAAATGGAAATAATCATCATGTTATACTTAAAGAGGAAGAAGTGTAATTTGGAATATTTTTATCATTAACTTAAAAATCATAATTTTTTCAGGTCCCTTGTTCCAGAGCTGATGTCTTTAATAGCAAACAACTTACTATGGTAGAAAAGCGAATGCTAATGAAATTTCTTACCTTTTGTATGGAATATGAGGAACATCCTGATGAATATAAAGGTATTATTTTTCATTCAATCATGTTTTCCACTTTAAGCTTTTTAATATACTTGGTGAACATCTTATTATTGTTACTTTTTACTGTACTTATTGTTTTAAAATGCATTTTATTTATGCAGTATCAAATAAGTGGGCCATTATTTACATTATCTATTTAAAATTAGATAAAATTGAAAATTCAGTTCCATAGTATCACTAGCCATTTCAAATTGCTAGTAAACATATGTACAGATATTTTGAACATTTCAGAAATGCTAAGTGCACTCAGTACAGCCAGATTTTTCTCCTCGGTGGTTATGTAAAATTACATCCTTTCAGTAAATTTTTATATTTTTTATTTATTTAAATTATTTCCATAAAGAGTTTGTCTTTGGTCATGGGATTGCTTTTGCTACCATTAATTGTCCAATTACAATGTTTTCTGCTCTTGATTTAAAGAATTATTTTTTAGGGCTGGTGATGTGGCTCAAGTGGTAGCGCGTGCGGCCTGGGTTCGATCCTCAGCACCACATACCAACAAAGATGTTGTGTCTGCCGAGAACTAAAAAAATAAATAAATATTAAAAAAAATTCTCTCTCTCTCTCTAAAAAAAAAAAACCAGAAGTTTTTTTAGGCATTCCTTATGTTTGTATACATGATTGTATGAAAGTATAACTGATTATATTAGCCACACAGAAATTAGTTCTGTTGCTTTTTTGTCATAGTTCATTATTTAACAAAAGTTTCATATTACTCTGTTATTTTGATCAATAGATTTCCATTTTGTCATATTCAATATTTTCAACTGTAATTATTGGCATTGTTGTGCAGTTGAAGTGTTAATAAGGCAAGAATATTGCCAATAATGGCAACCCATTGTGTTACTTACTGATTTTCTGATTTTTTTAAATCCATAAAACACTGTAAACAGAGATTTTACTTTCAGTCCAATTAGGACAGTAAGAGTGTTCCTTTTTTTTTCTTCAGATCAACAGTCACAGTCCAAAATGTTGTTTTGTTTCTGAATTCAATACAACATTCAGAAACAATACAACATTTTGAACACACTTGGTCACATTTGTGTGGGATGATTTTAAATAGAAATTTAGTTCTGATTTCAATTGATAAATTTTTATCTTTCTTTTCATAGCCTATGAAGACATTACATTTTCTGAGTATTTAAAAACTCAAAAATTAACCCCAAACCTCCAATATTTTGTCCTGCATTCAATTGCAATGACATCAGAGACAACCAGCAGTACCATTGATGGTCTCAAAGCTACCAAAAACTTTCTTCACTGCCTTGGGCGATATGGCAACACTCCATTTTTGTTTCCTTTATATGGCCAAGGAGAACTTCCTCAGTGTTTCTGCAGGTAAGTTTGCCATTGATTTTCTGGTCTCTTCTAAAGGTGATGCATGAATGACATAAAAATTACAACAAAATGAGATTTATTCAAGATTTATAATATGCAAACACATACATTGTTCTGCTTTTTTGTAATCTATTTACTTGCTTACCTATCCATCTCAATAATAACAGGCCATTTGGACTATTTTTTTAATTTTTATTTTTTAGTTGTAGATGGACACAATATCTTTATTTTATTTTTTTTATGTGGTGCTGAAGATCGAACCCAGTGCCTCATGCATGCCAGGCAAGTGCTCAACCACTGAGCTACAACCCCAGCCTTGGACTATTTTTTTTTTGAGCTTTAAAAATTCTGAATATTTTTGTACCTAGTGTTATATTTCAAAGCTTCATGCTTTTCTATAATCATGTTTTTTTAATTGTGCTCTTGTATTTCATTGTGAATGTACCTTCATCTGTTTGCATTTTTCTGTCAGTGGACACAGGATGTTTCCATTTTTTGTTGTTAGCATCCTTATATATTGATTCAGGATATGTGTGTTCAAGAGTTTCTCTAGGATACATATGTAGGAGAAGAATTCCTGAGTTATGGAATATGTGAATGTTTAGCATTTTACAACATTGACCCCAGTTGTTTTTCTAGAGAGTTATGCCTGTTACATTCTACTAGTAGTATATAAGAACTTCTGTAACTCTACATGTTTGTAGTATTTTCATTAAATTTTATTCTAAGTGATTTTTTTTTGTTGTTGTTGTTCTCAGGATTGAACCTAGGGGCATTTTACCACTGAGCCACATCCCCATCCCTTTTTATTTTTTATTTTGGACAGGGTCTTGCTTAGTTGCTGAGGCTGTTCTCCAACTTGTGACCCTCCTGCCTCAGCCTCCCGAGTTCCTGTACCTGGCTATTCCAAGAGTTTTTATTTCTGTTATAATTTCTTCATTGATGCATGAGTTATTAAGAATAATTTGGTTAATTCTTCTGCCCTTAGCATTGAATTTAATTACATTATGGCATTTATGCTACTTAATCCTGGAGCTTTGTTGGCATTTATTTTATGGCTTACAATATCATTAATTTTTACAATTTTTTCATATGTTCTTAAGAATATTTTTATTTAGTTGTTGGTAGGTACATGATTCTCTAATTATTGGTATCAGGGTCCAATAAATCAAGCTTCAAGTTGTAATTTTCAAACTTTATTTTAATTGAATATTTTCTTTGCTTTATCATTTGTAGAGAAATATGTTTTAAATATTTCACATTTCTCATTATGATGCTAGATTTGTCTATTTCTCCCTATAATTCTGTCAATATGTAGTTTATCTTTATTTTGGGGTTATTTATTAATATTAGTAGAAATTTATATTTTTAAACATTCCAGATGAATTTAATATTTACATAATCAATGTCTTTCTCCCCCCAACCCCTATAATGCTTTTTTCCTCTTTAAATCCACTTTGCTGGATATTCATATGATTATTCCAACTTTTCATATTTGACGCTTATAACTTTCTCCATCCTTTTTATTTCTAAGTTTTTGGAATCTATACTTAGGGCTCTTGTTGGCATAGTCTTCATTTTTATTCCTGTGCTGCCTATCTGACAGTCTCTCTCTTTTACTGAGCAGGATGAATGCTGCTAAGAAGAGTCTGTTTCTTCTTTCTGAAATGTAGAATTTTAAAAGCTCCTTTAGTTTACATCTGTTTGTAGTAAATTATTTAGTTTTATATATATGAAAATAACTTCAAAATGTTTTTATTAGTACATTAATTAAAAATAATAGTGGGGTTCATTTTGACATAGTCATACATGTCTTATAATGTAATTTGTTCCATTTCAATCCCCAGTACTTTCACTTTCCCTCCCCTCCTCCTTCCCCGATTCCTCTTCCTCTACTCGCTGCTCTTCCATCTATGCTATTTACAGATATGACTTTATCCCAGTAAATTTCACTTTCATGTGTATGTGTAAAGCACCAATTAACCAATAACTGGCTAGAGTTATTGGCCAAATTATATTGTGTGCATGTACAACTATGTAAAAATCCCATCATTATGTATAACTAATGCACCAATAAAAAGTGGAGAAAAAGAACAATAAATAGAAAATCTCTTCTTTTCATTTTGTCTTGAGTGAAATTTTACTAGGTAAACAGGTCTAAGATGGTAGATCTTTTCAATATTTTAAAGATTTTATTCCATTGATTTTTTTTTTCCTGTTGAAAAAATTGGAAGTCAACCTGATTTGTCATTTCTTTATAAGTGATATCTCTTTTCCTTTTGGGCTGTTTTTAAGATAGTTTATCTTTGGTCTTCTGCATTTTTACTACACTGAATCTTAGATGTTGGTTTCTTCTTATTTATCTAGCTTAATACAGATGTAACCATTTTAAGTTAACAATATTCAACCATTTTTGACAAAAGCTCCATATGGGTCAACTAAATCAATTGTATTTCCTCTATTTGTGAATTTATGGAAAATTCCATTGTGGAAAATTGTCAACAAATATATTTACAAGTATTTTTTGCATTGTCTTCCCTCTCACCTTTTGGAATCCAAATAAATGTTTAAAATTTAGCATTCTCTTTTCCATATCTTCTACTCTGTCTTTCATATTTCCTATCTCCTTGTCTTCTGGTTGCATTCTTGGTTCTTTATTAAGATCTGAGTTCCAGTTTATTAATTATTTTCACCTGTGATTAATCTGCACTTTGATCCATTCATGCTTTGATTGCCTATTTTTTGTCTTTCATTTTAGGAATTCTGCTCCTCAATTTTCCTTTTTTTTTCTTTTCTTTCTTTCTTTTTTTTTTTTTTTTTTGCAGTGCTTGGGATTTAACCCAGGGCCCTGTGCATCCGAGCCAAATGCTCTACTACTGAGCTATACTCCCAGTTCTTCTGTATAATTTTTGATAGTTCCTTTTATATGTTCATTTTTTGAATCTTTCTGCTTTAAATCATTCATATTATAAATATTTTACATTCTTTCTGTTAATTCTAACAAATATTCATAATGGTCTGATACTGCCATTTTTTATTACTACTGATTCACCTTAGTGTTTTGTTTCCTTCTGCAATGCTTGAGAATTTATATCTGATTCACTTTAGTTTGAATGTCAAATTAAGAATGCTTTTCTTCTGGAATTGTTTGTGTCTGCTCATTCCCAAACCCTATAAACATGGGAGCATTTTGTTCTTTTCAGGGGGTTCTCCTTTAATAATACAGATGGCATCTAGTTATCCTGGCCCAAGGTTTTTTTTTTAAATTTAATTTTTATTGTAGTGTTTTATTGCTCAAAACTTTGATTTCAGTTCATTGTTTGTATAACACATGTATGGGTATATTTGGTGATGGGGTGTTTACCATGGTGTCTCTTTTCCTTCATTCTCCTCGGTGCAATGAAAATTATGTTCATGCATTACCTAGTTTTTTGGTATTAACAGGAGGTCCCATCACAGTACCCATTCTATCATACCACTGGAAGTAGGTGTTCTCAAATTTATGTTTCCTAAATATGTCATCTTATGAATGGAAGTGAGAGTGTTGTGTAAATTGCACAGTAACTAATTTCAGAATATGTTCTGTGTATTTCCAAACAAACTTGTCCTCCTCCTATTTCAGGTCAAAGTAGGGATGAGGAGAGTGTGTCATTTCCCCCAGGACCAGAGGTCCTTCTATCAATTGAAACTAAGAAGAAAGTTCTGTGGTTTTCTTAATCACTCTGTCCCTCTTCCTGTGTCATTTCCAGATTCAAAGAAACTACACTGTTTTCTCTCATGTTGGCATGTGCTACTCTTATAGAACTTAATGGTAAGGAACAGGGACAGAATTAAAAGATCACTGGGAATTGACCTGAAGCTCAGTAGCTTTCTTAGTAGTATTTTATGAAAATAGATACAGGTTAAGCATCCTTAATCTAAAAGTTTGAAATCATAAATGTGCCAGAATCTGAAACTTTGTGAGCATCTTCATGATGCCAGAAGTGGAAAGTTCCCCACCTGAATTCATTTAACAAATTGCAAAATACAGATGCACTAAAAATATTGTATAAAATTATATTCGGGCTGTGTATATAGGCTCATGGATTTTTGTGTTTAAATTTGGGTCTCATCCCTAAGATATTATATTTTGTAAATATTTAATAATAGGAAAAAATCTAAAATCTGAAAAACTTCTATTCCCAAGCATTTCAGAAAAGGTATACTTAAACTGTATTTAATCTCATTTCTCTTTTTTTCATTAAATCCCTGTATTTCTTTCCTATTCAAACAGTTTATAAATATGTATTTGGTGTTTGTTTATCTAAAAGACATTTAAATGTTTCATTTATCATATGCTGTTATAAAATTTCAGAATGAGATGCTAGACAAAGACCATTTTTCCCCAAAGATGGTTTTAGCATTCCTAAGACTGCTATTTTATCAGAACTCCCATCTTTTAATGCTTTGTAGCACCTGGGTCAGTATTGTACATGTGGTTCAGAATTAAAGGTTGTTATAAAAATTAGACCTCATCTTACCCATTTTAAGTATACTTTTAAGGAACAATGTAATTAAATGTGTATATAGTAGGAAAAAAAGACTTTTTCTGTTAGGTTTGAAGTATTATGTTAAACTTTTAAGTATTTCTTTGTTAATTAAGTAAGGAAACACTGATTTCTTTCTACATATTATACATATAAGACTATATGTGAATTATATGCATTTATTTGGCCTAAGGATATTAACTTTTAATTTTATATTGGGTTCTCTACATAATGCTTTATAATTCCATATAAATATTGCTGTTTATATCCTGAAGTGGTAACACTACCATTATCTATACATCATAGGCTACACTTTTTATCACCAGGTTATCAGAATAAGGTGTCACCTGTTTTATGATTTCTAACCATCATTCTCTATTCTGTTTTAATATAAGCTTCTTAAGCATTTCTCACAGCCAGTTACAGTGTGTTCTCATCAAGGCTACTGTTATAAATGGGATGCATGCATATTTA